AGTATACTATACTATACTAATGTATACTATACTATACTATACTATAGTATACTAATGCTATGCTATACTATGCTATTTTAACCCGCCCGATGTTGGCGACCCACCACTCCTCATGGAGGAGCCCAGTCGGCCCCACCCCAGCTCTTTATACTGGATGAGTTTTCTTAAGAGAACACATAGAAGCAACAGTGGAAAACAGCTTTGGCTCTACCTTGTGTGTTGTTCTAGATGCCTCCCTTCTGCCCCCTCTCTGCTCTGGGTCCCGACACCTGTTCTCATCGTATGGACCTCCATGCCTCCCCTTCTCCCACTCAAGTCCCAGTAGCAGGCACCCTTCATCGCATTCCACACAGGGCTTTAGGGGGAGAGACAAGTGTTTCACTCAGCAGCTGCAGGGTTCAGGCCTCCAAACCAGGAATAAAAAAGATGATCTTCACATCACCCAACAGGCAGCGGTGGCTCTCATGTCTGCTCTGACCCTACTTTGGATCAGCCGAGGTCATCCATGCCTATATCATTTTATGTCATGTTGCGGACAGTAGGGGTGAAATGTCAGCTAGAACCACTACTTCGTTAAATCGGTATTAAATAATTGCCCTGGGCCAGGTATGTGCTGGAGGCCGTGGACACAGATGAACCAGAGAGTGTCCTTGGGGTGGGGTGGGGATGGGCTGGGGGTCTTCCCCATTCTAGGTCCATCTGGCAACACTTCTGCCTAAAGTTATAAGGTTTGCGCTATGGAGCCCAGCCCAGCTCCATTCTGCGTGCCCGGGGCCCTCACATTCCAGGGCGCTCAGCCTTCTCTCTGGGGTGTCCCTGCTGCAGTCCCGCTGGCCCGGACTAGGATGCTATGTATGCAAAAGCAGAAGGCACGGCCCATACAACCCTGGTGCCAAGTGCTGCACTGGAGAACCCCCTACTTCCACATTCTGGACATGGGGCTACACATTCATTTCTGAGGCAATGGACCCAGTGAACACTCAAGGGAGCCCAGGACCTTGAAGACTGGCTCGCTTGCTTCCCCCACTGAACGGTGGACCACTTAGCGCTACCTCCTGCCTTTGAATTCCTCTTCCTCCCAATGGTCCAGGCAGTTAGGGTTTCAGCATGTCTCCCTGCGCCTGAGACTAAGCAGGGAATCCATAGAGCGAAAGCGACTGCCTTTCCTTACTGGCTTCAGAAAGGCTGTGGATCGCTGGGTGACAGCTGGCTTTTGGAGACGGTGAAATGGGACCCCAGGCAGTAGGAACTCTGATGCATCATACGTGGAGAAGAGCACGAGACTTTGCCCTCGGAGTACGGCTGTCATTCTCACTGCACACACGCACCAAGCCAGGCCAGCGCCTGCTCATCAGACACTTCAAACTCTGGAGTGCTCTCCACTGAGGATCCCAAGGGAATGCTGGATGGCAAGACTGCTGCTTCTTCCTTTCCTGAAATAATGATTTGACAATCTGCACCTGGCTCATCTCTTGTGTGCCTGGTGGGCTTTCCTAGAGGGCGGGTTACTCTCAAGTATCCAAGTAGCTCAACACAAATAAGACCAGACTCACTGTCCTTGGGTCAACTCATAGTGATCTCATAGGGCAGGGTAGAACTGGCCCTGTGAGTTTCTTAGACTGTAGCTGTTAATGGGAGTAGAAAGTCCTGCTTTTTCTTGCACAGTGGATGGTGGTTTCGAACTGCTGACTTGGCAGACCTCGGACCAATGCTTTTCCACTATGCCACAAGGGTTTCTTCAATTTCAACAAGGCAGTGGAATTAGAAGCTCTTCCTGATGTTATCTCCATCACCGCCACTAGTAAGTAGCAAGCACTTTTTGTCATTAGCAAGCAATCATTTTTGATGATGGATAGTATATTGAGACTATCTAGACATTTAAAAAAATGCAATTCTCCTAAGAGCCTTACAAAGTAGGCATTATCATCCTAACTGGACAGAGGAGGAGGACTGGAGCTCATATAAGTTATGCCCGCCCCCCCGAAGATCACGTGTGTTTATCAGACATCAAAGCCTGTTTTCACGATGTCATGCTTTAGTAACAACCACTGCCTCTCACGCACCAGTCACCGGGAGTCCCTGATGGCACAGATGGTAAAGTGCTGAGCTGCAAACTGAAAGGTTGGTGGTCCACCCCCAACCCCCATCAGAAGTAGGGCCTGCTGAGCTGCTTGCAAAGGATCGCCGCCCGACACCTCGTGCAGCAGCCAGTTCAACTCCACAATCATGGAGGCCCCATTAGTTGGAAACATCCTGATGGCAACTAGCCACTCCCACCAAGCCTTGTGCGGAGTGGTTTATTTTAGTCCACCTTTTCCATCTCACTGTTATTGCTCCTTTATAATTGGTGGCCCACACAGGAGAGACTAGTCCCTGTGGAAGGGCAGCCAAACGAGAGGAAACCTCTCCATGCGATGGATTGACAGAGTGGCTGCAACACGGTGGGGCTGGGGAAGGACCAGGCAGGGTTTCGCTCTGTTGTACAGAGAGCCACTCTGGGTCAGAACTGACTCCGACGGCACTTGACAATAATTAACAGCGCACTAAGGTGAAGTCATCTCCCTGAGGTTGCACACAGGCAGCAGAAGGTAAAACCAGGATTCATACTCTGGCCACTTTCTATCATTTCTGTTTTGCTTTGTTTTTTTACTATACTATACTCTATCATATAAAAAAGGAGTCACCAAATCAAACTTGGTGACTGATTCCACTTTACCAAACAACACAAATAAGCCCAGGTCCAGATGAGAGAATACCAAGTGGGCGGGCTAATGACAATGGGCACCTGGTGCCTTGGTTTCTGTCTCTGGTCACTTGTGCTTATTTTCATCTGTTTGGTGATTGTCAGCATGCTCACAGGGGCCTCGGCTGAATCTGGACCAGGGAGGAGCAGGAATATAAAGACTCGACAAATATTAGGCCAGAGGAAGCTTCCCAGGAATACTTTGGAGAAGATCATTCACTCCCCTTTTATTTTGTAGAGAAAATGCTAGCTCTAGCTCCTGCCCTAAGTGCTGTGGGTTTAGAGAGATGACTGCTTTCGGCTTTCACTCTGTGTAATTTAATGGAAGATGACAGATCTATAAATAATGATCTGGGCGCTAACTTCTACTCCTGTGTCTACTACCTAATCTGTAGTGTAGTTTTCGGCAGGTGATCTAACCTCCCTGAACTCTGAATCCTCTGTCTAAAATTAAGTCAAATAGATAATGTCCCCATAGACTCCTCTCTCCAGCATCCCTTTAATGCAATCAGTTATTAAACTTGGCAGATTTTTCTTTTTAAATAAACTTGAAGCCATCCTTCACCTACTTCACTACTCTGATGGTCCTCATAGGGCAGGAACCAGGACTTGATCTCTGCTTCTTCTGACTTCTGGGCACTGAAATCATACACATGAAGGTGCACCAGGTGTGACTGCTGAGTTGAACGGCTCTGAAAGCTCGGCAGAGAAGAGGCATTACTACGCTACATTGGAAGACATCCCAATTCCATGATGATAGACTCTTCTCTTTTGTATACTTCTTCATCCATCGCAGCTCCTGATCTCGGGACCAGAAAACAGAGAGCTAGCCTTTGCTGGCTCCGCACACTTCCAAGCTTCTGGATCTTTGTGTAAGTCCTCTAGCTGGAACGTTCTTGTCATTTCATTGCGGAGCTATTTATTTCTTGTCTTTAAGACTCAGAGAAGCACACCATACAAGGACTGTAAATAATAAAATCCAAATCCAAAGGAGGGAAGTTGTATTAGAACTTAAATTGCGAACAAATGGTTTGCAGAGGGCGAGAGATCACAGTGGAAACCCAAACCATTCACAGGGTCCACAGGAGGATTAAGCCTCTGGTGACTCCCCTCTGAACACAGTTCAGGAATATCAACAGCCTTGCTATCAGACAGAGTGGGTTGTAAAGTGGATTATGGCAGAAGCGGTTCACTTGAAACGTTATACTTTATCATTTGATCTCCCTTTTGACCCATTTTACAGCTGTTTTGGTTTGTCATATTTTCTGCTTTCTTTTCAATTGAGGTTTTTGTACATTTTGTCATCATCGTTGTTGGTTTTATTGTTGGCGCTATTCACTTCCTGTTTGTGCATCGTATGATGCTCTGTCTATGAAATCCAGGATAGATAAATCTATAGAGACGGCGAGTGGATAAGTAATGACCTAGGGGCACGGCAGGAGAGGTTGGGGGGGAAATGGGGAGCCAACAACGAGAGAAAAACGTTCTGAAACTGACTGTGGTTATGATTGTACCACTCTTCCTAGTATGACTGGACGATTTATCTTGGCATGTGAAGTATACAGAAGTAAAACTGTTTTTCAAAAACCTCAGCTTATAAACCACCTTGCATCCTTCTGACCCCAAAGCACCTCCCCTGTGTTCCCAGAGAACCCTGGGGACATATCTCTGACCCATCACACCATCACTGTCCATTTAGTTCACCCAGTGGACTGTGCGTGTGACCAATGGAAAGCACAGAGACTGTCCTTTCCTCCTCCCTGTGGTCCTAGCACTGGGCTGGGCACACGGTGGACACCTGTGAAGAATAGTTCCGAAGGGTGACACAACTGAAAAAGGAAAGCATGTGGGTGTATGGCTTGGGTGTACCCTCCCACACTGTCACCCCACCTACACCCCAGCAACACCGTGTGGCTCTAAGCTCTGAGGGTGAGCAGTGGCCACACCTTCCAGCTCTTCTGGAGGCCGCAGGATCAGTGAGAGTTGACTGCAAAGTGAGTATTGATCTAAGATTCCCCTGGGACTTTGGATTTCTCACGCTTTCCATCTATCACCCAGCGGGAGCAGCAAACCCTGGCACCTAAAAATTTCCAAAGGCCTTGGAGAGCAGTTTTCTAAATTCGGGTACATGAGACTGCTTCTCTGCCTGCTCTGACATACCACCAGAAACCTGTGTTGCTTCCCTCTTGGCCTTCACCCACCCTCCACCGCCCGCACCTGACCCTCCTCCAGTGAGCCCAGGGCCTTATAGACTCACCCTTCGTCAAAGGGGTTCTCCCCGGGGATGATGTGTGTGCTGTCCCTGCCCACCAGGAACTGGATGCGGTCGTAGAAGGAATGGAGGTTCTGCTGGGACACCGGGGCCTGCGTCTCCTGGATGATGTCCACAGGGTCGGGGGAGCCCAGGCACAGCGGGTTGATGTGGCAGAGGGGCTGCAGGCAGCAGTCAGGGTCCATGCAGTCCACCAAGCCATCTGGAGGGGAGACAGGGTATCTGTTTAGATTGCTAGGTTCAATCAGTCATGCTGGCCCAGACGTCTCCAACTCCTTTCTGCTGTGACCCAATCATTGGACATACTTTATTAGGTGCTTGAGAGAAGTCAGGGCCCTTTGCTGGACACTGAGGAAGTCAAGGGGTTTCAGACCTGGTCCTAGCTTACCAGTCTTGTGAGGGAGAGGGAGGAGGAGAGGGGAAAGGAAAGGATTTACCTATTCAGCTAGCTACACATACATGCATCCGTAGAGAGGGTTTATATGAAGGAGCAGTACATCCAAAGGAGTAGGTGAGAGAACATGGTCACTTGAGTCACTAAATTCAAATGCTGGCATGTGGAAGGTGAGGGAAATAGCAGGAATGAGGCACCAAGATCAGACATTTTGCTGGGGCAGTAACGAAAGTCTTTAAGCAGAGGCATCTGCTTTGCATTGTGGGAAGACCATTTCCTGCAGTGCAGAGAATGGACTGGAGGGAGTTGGGGGTGGGGGCGCGAGGAAGCTACAGGCTGCCAAGTTGATAAGTAATGGTTTCGCAGACTGGAGTGGTAACAGTGTGAGTAGAGGAGACCAGATGTTTTGGAGAGAGATTTAAGACGCAAAACTTTTCAGATCCAGTGACTGACTAGTTTTGGGGGCAGAGGAAGGGTAGTGGGGGGAGGTGAGGGCCCTGGACTACTAAGCATCTCTCCCAGCTGCAAGGGAACTGTGTGCCCTGAGACGCAGTCCTCAGTCCTCTGGAGACCTGGCTCAGCCAGGCAATGACTGGACTCGAGCCCCATCCACAGGGCAGCACACATTGATAGCTTGGGCTTTAGGCTGAACCCTCTCTCTTCTTTCTTAGCTGTGCAACCTTAGGCAAGCTATGTGACATCTCTGAAACCCAGTTTTTCCCTCTTAATAAATCTGAGACAAAAACTCTTTGTGCTACACAATGCCCAAGGGATTTTAGCCCTGTTTCACCCAAACTCAGAGC